AATGTGTGGATAAGTTGCGCCAGAGTGTTATATATAAATCCACGGTTCATGACATAAGAATCCCGAGTAACCCATCCTGTTAGAAAAAAATATGCCCCAAGAAGGAAATTATATATGAATTTAAAAAGGACGGGTTTGACTCAAAATGGAAAAAGGAGAAAGTAACGGTTATTCCTAAATAGAATAAAACCTAGGGAAAAATATAGACAAAAGGAAACGAGCAGAATGTAGAGAAAAAATATAAAGGTGGGGAGCCTCCCCATAAGCCTTCAGCGCCCCCATACACGAATACACGAAGAAAGAAGTGCATCTTCAGACATGAAACTACATTTAGAAGAGGTGCGAAGATTAGAATGTGAGCTGAACATATGTTTTTTTAAGGAATTATTCACAACTGAAATTCGTATTTCCCTAGATTTAATCAAAAATCCAAACTATCATACTTTAAATTGAAAGTTTTCATCAAACGCACCTAAGCGTACACTACAGTATAAGTTGGGAGCCTCCAAGCTGCGTATGAACCCGAATGTATTGTTCCATTCCAGCAAAGTAGAATTATTCTGAAGCCACAGAATATGGAATTAGTCATATCCGCGAAAACTCCGAAAGTTAAGCATCATAGGTGAGTTGACAAGACTTTAATATTCGCGCGCTTTATTAAGAGCAATACTGAAGACCTTTTGTGGTACCATTTATGACTTGTATCAAGTCTTATTCCCGACCAATCATGTAAAAAATATTTGAAACTCCCACCCATAGCATAGCAAGAGCTAGGTTGGAATAGTATGAACTGCTATACTCTATATATCTAATAGCCTACACCAGCAGACTGATTTAGTTGTGAACTGGATGATGTGGAAAATTTTCCCCACCTCACTTTATCAAAATTACTATAAAGAACAAACTTGATCACTACACCTCCTTACGATTCCGTCACTGTCTCCCAAGAGTAATCCCTGCAGAGTGTAATTAATGTGATAGGAATATTCTTCTCTATCACTAAAGTAATAGTCCTAAGAAATATATCATCTCCTTAAGAAATAACATATCTATGGATTAAGCTAAGAAATAACTCTGGGCATATTACGAGGGTATAGGATTTTTTTATTTATTTTTTAGACGTATTAAG